TGTTGCTACCAAATAACTTTTTTATTCCTTCCATAGCCCAAACACCATTTTTGTTCCTACCAAACATCTTTTTTGTTCCTTCCAAAGTCCAAACACCATTTTTGTTCCTACCAAACACCTTTCTGGACTTATGTTGTGATCACCAGTCTCAAAAAAGCAATAGCCCAATTATTGTAATTATTATTAGGTCCATGACAAAAAAGTCTAAAAATAAATATTCATAGTACATATTTTTAGACAACTGTTTCCTTTTTCTTCTCCTACTTAAATTGTTAGGTTTTATTTCCAGACAAGTTTTTGCGTGAAGTCACACAAAATGTCAGCAGTAATCTGCATGTTCCAAAATACACTTTTGGGAAGTTGCTCTGGAAAGGTTTCATAATCAACTTCTACATCTTTAATATTGTCACTGTTAGGATGATATCTCATTACATCCTCAACGATCTGAGCTATATCCATCTCATCAATTTTATCTCCGTTGCCCCTGTATAACAGTACGACACCTTGTACCTCGACCTGGAAACTAACAAGACCTGGAAAGAGAAAATAAATTATTTCCTTTTACGATATAAAAAAATATTTATAACCACTATGTAATTAACTAATTAAAAAAAAAAATTTGTGTTTTGTTAGAAACAATGGAAAATTGTGCAAAGTTTCAACTTTATCCAAGAATGGGAAATAGGAGAAATAACTTGTTCAAACTTTGTATCATACAAACGAAGAACGCTATAAACCATGGGTCACTGCAAAAATAAAACGGGAAATCATCAAAAAGAGTATATATGAGTGGCGACAGACAGAAAAGGAAAAAGAGCTCAAGGAAATCTCAACGTCGTTCTTGAGGAAGGGAGGAGAAACTACAGCACCAAGCTGGAAGACTCGATTAAGACAAGTGCCATGAGACAGCAAAATGACAAGTCAAAATTAAAAATAATCTTGCTACAAGAGATGACAAAACATTAGCCAACGAGTTCAATGATTTCTATTGTCATTTCGACACTAACGACTTGAATTATCTAAGTCTCAAAGCCGTTGAAGATGTCAAAGTTGACGGCTGTTTAGAATCAGCGATTACTAAAGAGCAAGTATGCAACATTTTCAAAAACGTCAACCCAATGAAAGCTGGTGGGCCTGATGGAATAAAACGGAGAATCTTAAAAGAATGTGCTGAACAACTAGCTGAACCTTTCCTAGAGTTTTTTTCACTTCATTACTAAACCATGAAATACCATCTGTGTGGAAGTCGTCCATAATTGTACCTGTGCCAAAGGTTTCCAAACCAAAGGAAATGAATGACTTTAGACCTGTTTCACTTCCATGGTGTCTAAATGTTTAGAAAAACTGGTTAAAATGTTTCTTCTGAATGATCTTTGTAATAAGTTAGACCCTTTACAATTTGCTTACCAAAGGAGTAAAGATGTAGACGATGCCTTTCTAAATTTTTTAGATTGTCTACAAACATCTGGACTTATCTAACACTTATGTAAGATTGTTCTTTATTGATTTCTCATCAGCTTTTAATACCATAGAACTTCATTGACTTATTGAAAAGAAGCGTTGAAGATTAGTCCATATATAATAATGAATTTTTTATCCAGAGACCTCAGAGGTTTAGGGTAACAATGTAATATCAAATGCACGCATAGTTAACAAGGGGGCGCCCCAGGGGGCTGTGACATCGCCATTGTGGTTCATTTTGTACACCAATGATTTTCAATCCAATAGTCCTTTTTGCTCTTTCATAAAATGTTGCAGCTCTTCTTGCCCTGCTCTCAGAGAGCTCAGACGTAAATGAGTATTTCAAAGAAATAGAACACATAGAAAAATACTGTAAAGATAATTTTTTATTATTAAATGTAAAAAAAAAAAAAAACCAAAGAAATGAAAATCGATTTTCGTAGGGAAAAGAAGGAAATTTGATATTGTTTTGTAGCCGGAGAGACTATTGAAATAGAGCAAACTTTTAAATACCCTGGAGCTATCCTTGACAATAAACTAAATTTTACTGCAAATACTGATTATAGCAGCAAAAAAGGGCAGCAAAGTTTACGTTTACTGAGAAAAACTGTCCTAGTTCAATGTTAGTGAAAAGGCCTTTGCTATGTTTTATCACGCTTACATCAGCAATATTTTAAATTGTTAATATCACTGCCTGGTATGGCAATCTGACCATTAAAAATAAAAATAAACTTCACGGAATCCTAAATGCTGCTGGTAAAGTCATTGGCAAAAAACAAACCCCATTTGGGCAGACAAACATCCATTAAAAAAAGCTAAAAAAATTCTAGAAATAGAAAATCACCTTTTGGGTTAGGCTTTTGTGATTTTACCATCACAAAAGAGATACAAAAGAGATACAAGACACCAATAGCGAAGACAGACAGCCAAAAAACTCTTTTGTTCCCCTGGCAATGAAATCATGAAATAGAAACATTCTGATATAAACTTTTCACATGTAAATTATGAGTGAGTCTGGTGTGAATGTACATTTTTTTTATAGTTATAATTTTTAGTCTGGTGTAATGCACAAATTGTAAGACAAATTTCCTTACGGACAATAAAGATTATTATTATTATTATTAGTGTCAACAAATGCACAGATGGGTTGAACATTACTCTGAACTCTACGCCACCACAAGCTCAGTCTCTGTCTCAGCCCTTAAGGCTATCATACAATTACCCACAATGAACGAGCTAAACGAAACACCCACCCTATTAGAGCTCAACAAAGCCATAGACAACATTGCTGCCGGTAAAGCACCTTCAGATCTTCTAAAACAATGCAAACCTACACTAATCCAACCTCTACACTAATTGCTTTGCAAATGTTGGCAAGAAGATGCTAAAATCGTTGCACTGCATAAGAAAAAAGGTGACAGAAGCGACTGCAACAAATACAGGGGAATTTCCCTATTAAGTATTGTAGGAAAAGTATTTGCTCGAGTGATACTTCCCAGGCTACAAAAACTCGCTGATGCGGCTTTGGCTCAGGGAGATTCACGACTGACATGATTTTCTCCATCCGCCAACTTCAGGAAAAGTGCAGAGAACAAAGGATACCTTTGTATATTGCGTTTATTAACCTGACAAAGGCCTTCGATCTAGTCAGCAGAGATGGCCTCTTTAAAATGTTCCAGATAATAGGCTGTCCACCCAAGCTGCTAAATGTAATTTTCTCCTTTCACCAAAATATGATGGTTACATTACAGTTCAACGGTGCCTGCTCCGAAAGGTTCAGTATAAACAGCGGATTTAAACAAGGATGTGTCCTGGCCCCAACCCTCTTTGGAATACTATTTTCACTGCTAATCCACAACGCGTTTGACAAATCCACCGAGGGCATCTATCTCCATTCCAGATTTGATGGTAAACTCCTAAATATTGCCAGACTGAGGGCCAAAACTAATATCAAAACTTCCCTCGTAAAAGATATGCTATTCGCGGATGATGCAGCGGTAGTGGCACACACACAAGAGGAACTTCAGTCACTAATGTTACGCTTCTCTCAGGCCAGTTAAGAATATAGCTTAACAATTAGCTTGAAGAAAACAAACGTTATGGGACCAGCTGCCACAGCACCACCCTGCATTCTCATTGACTATAACAAGCTGGATGCCGTAAACGAATTCTGCTATCTTGGATCTACAATTCAAGATGACCTGTCTCTAGAAGAGGAGATAAAAAAACGCATAGGGAAGGCTGCCTCAACATTCGCCAGACACAGTTCAAGAGTTTTGGAAAACCAGAAGTTCACTACAGTGACCAAAATGGAAGTCTACAAGGCATGCGTTATGAGTATGCTAAGGTATGGCAGTGAGTCATGGAGAACCTACGCAAAGCAAGAAAGAAAACTAAACTCATTCCATTTGCGATGTCTCAGAAGAATCTTGAAAATCACATGGAGAGAAGAGATCCTTGCGCGAGCAGGTATTCACAGCATCTTTACACTCCTCAGACAACGCCGCTTGCGCTGGCTTGGACACTTTCGGGGGATGGAGGACAATCGCATCCCGAAAGTCATCCTCTATGGACAACTCGCGATTGGCTCAAGAAAAACTGCTCGCCCCCACTTCCGTTACATAGATGTAATAAAACGGGACCTCAAATCAGTGCACATCAATACTGACGATTGGGAAGACATAGCTCTAGACCACACCAGATGGAGAAAGACAGTGACCAAGAAAGCTAAGGACAGCGAAAAAACATGGGCCTCAGGTCTGGAAGAAAAACGGACAATACGAAAAATGGCCAGCTCCTTACCACCAAAGCGAAAGCCACCTTAACCTGCGATATTTGTGGACGGGAGTGTATCTACAAAATAAGGCTCCACAGCGACATAAAAAAGTGTTCGAGATGAACCATAGTCATTCTACGACGGAAGGAGGCCAACCAACATTATTATTATTATTATTATAAATACATAAATCAGTGATGTCCAAACTACGGCCTGCTACAAGCTACCAACAAATTCAATCCTAACTCTATCCATACAAAAAGTCCATTTAAAGAATTATTGCCTAAAATCAAAGAAACTAAATGTATAATTACCAATTTTTTTCCCATATAGTAACATTATGTCCCTCGAACTAAATACAGTCAATACTATTAAGTTTATTTTGTATTTATTATTGTAAAAGTGTTGCCTCTTTACGAGAAAGTGGTTTGCCTCATTTATTTTAATTGAAATTATTTCACATTCCACAAAATTTCTGAATAAAGACTACTTTACAGCCCCCAACCCCCATTGTTGGAAGGAATTGTTCAATGTGATAATATCGTTAGTAGTACCTTGGTAATGTTTCTTTTCAATGTCCACGTTGGCCACAGACTTTGATAGCCCTGAGTAACTCTCAGGCATGACATGAGAACTGGCCAGAGAGATCTTGAGTTTTTGTTTGCTGTCTGTCACTAGCAGACCCGGGTAAATGTCCACATACGTTTGGTTTACAAGGTCGTGTTCTAAATCATCTGGAACTGGAATACTCAATTTCTTATTG